CCCCAGACAACATCGCGTCCATGCTTTTGCTGAGCAAGGACAACACGGAAACATGTCGAAAAGGTTCACTTTAACCACGAAACCAGATCGGCCGACCTGTAATGTTACACTCTCACTCAAAGGATGGACGATCTGACAGGATTGTTACTATGAGGTGATCACATCTAACGTGTATAGTAAAGACAAACTCACCGTGTCTATCTAGTCATGATGAAGATGTATATACATTTCAATTTCAGCAGGCAACTATTTTTACAGCTACATTATTGTTCCAGCCACAATTAATCACAACAATGTATATACTTACAAATGATTATATATAAATCGTCAGTTTGTTGTTTTATACACATGCACAGACATTATTTCATACACGACATAGTCGTGAGATGCAAGAAACATAGACATATGGCAAGAAATCTGTAGACGCGCCCATAACAACAAAAGACAATACTTTATTGAGCCTTTTCTGATAAGAAGTGTGCGTTGCAAACTCGAGCATTTTTGACGATCGTTTCTGTCCAGTCTGCTCGTTTTATCGCGTTTAACCACAGCTGTTATCATTTTTTTGTCTGGCAGTGGCTGCAGATATGCAATCAAATTTCTAATTTGAGGCTGTATTAAGTTGATTCTGGCACCCAACATCACAACAAGATGATATTTTAAGCTCCTCATGTAGCCGAATCTGCGCTGGTTTGAATGGGCCGCCTCCAGTTTCCCCTTTGTTTTGCTGCCTCCAGCTAGCGCTGTGATGTCGGCTGACCCTAGTTACCTGTGGTTGGCCTGGCCGTGCGTCACTCAGAACACATCAGGCCAATCAGAAGAGAGGCTCATGAATATTAATTAGACAGGCCAAAATCGACCTGTTCTCAGCAGAGCTCCTGAGAGAGGAGCTGTAAAAATATATTGAGATGGTTTTTGGTACTTATACCGCAAATATATATTATTAAGAACATCAAAACCTAAAATAAAACTCCAGAAAGGTGTACAATATGTGACCTTTAACCTTCATGTTCTGTGTAGATTATACTTGAGACTCCAATGATTTACATGTAAAAATAATACAAATCATACCAGTTATTTTACTTTGAATTTATTAATTGGGATCATTCACCCAGAAATACAATTTCTGCCATCATTTACTTAACCTCATGTCAAGAGTGTCTTTCTTCTGGGGAACACAAAAGATGATTCTTTCTGTTTTAGCCCATACAATCAAATTCCAAAACAGCATTGACCCCCTTCACTTTTCGACATTTTTCAAAATATTTTCTTCTATGTTCCACAGAAAGAACGTTTGGAATGACGTGAGGGTGAAACAATTTTTGGATGAATTATCCCCCAATAAGTAGCATTGGTTTGTTTGACACCCTAAAGAGAACGGGAGGGTTAAGGTCATTATTGTATAAACTCATTTGCGTGAAGGCTCAGACACAAATATATATTTCATTTCATCCTTACTCCCTGACTACAAAGACAAATAGTGCCTTGCAAACTGAGAGGAGGTGCAAGGGACTGATTTTCTGCCGTGGCGCATGGAAGAGACTCAGCAGAACGTTTAATCTCCGTGTGCTTTCTCAACCTAAAGTGACAGCCCAACCGGCCCAGAGCGGGTCAGTACCCTGTAGTCCTCCCAATATCTGTCAGACCCCTGCTCTTCAGGCCTGCTCGGTTGGCTCATGTTCTGCGGAACTAGCAAGAGCAGTCTGCTCAGTCAGATGTTCACTAGAACCCCTGCTCTGCTTCCAAAACAGTCACACCTTGAATTTTCCAATGCCTTCGTCAGCCTGCTGTGATGTCATAATGCATTGATGTCATTAGGACAGGGAACTGAGATTTGTTTTTCAGAAAATAGCAAAATCAAATGATTAATTATTCTATTAACAGTTTTATGAGTCTCCAGCGTGAATGTGGACTGTGTAGTCTGATTCCCGAGAGCCAGTGTAGTCTGATTCCCGAACTAATGCTTTTTTTTTTGAAGATTTATTTTTGGTGTTTTTATGCCTTTTATTTAGATAGGACAGTAGGTTGACAGGAAGCGAAGTGGGAGAAAGAGAGGAGGGTGGGATCGGGTAATACTGTGTATTCTGAATACATGTCTGAATTCTAAATGAATTCTAAATAGCTTTTATGAGTTGATTCTTTTTAGTGATTTAAAAACATATAGAGTGACAACGTTGATCCCTGACATAAGAATTTGTATTTTTAGTGAATCAAGTATATACAATGTTGTTTTAATTTGAAATATGTGATTTTACCAGGCTGTCATAGAGAGTGTATTACATTATGGAATTGTAGCTTGGTTTGGTAACATATCAAATCACAAATAAATGGACTGGTTCATACAGCAATGAAAGTGATGGGGGTGAGGGAGTATCCCTTCTTCCAAACTCTTTTTGAGAAGACCATAGTTAAACAGGCTAGGAAAATTATTGCAGATCCCTCTCACATCTTGTACTCAGAATACGAACTGCTTCCCTCAGGTAGACGCTATAGGGTTCCTGCTAAATACCGGAAAAGATACCTGAATAGGTATAAACACTCTTTCATTCCTTTATCAGTGAATCTCCTTAACTCAGGACATTAAGGTGGGGGTGAAATGAAGGTGTTTCAGGTATTGAAGGCACTTATGTGTTTTATTTTTTATTTATTTATTTGTGTGTGTGTGTGTGTGTGTTATTGTATTATAATTCTATGTATTCTTGTGTGTGGCAGCCCTTATTACCAGGACAAATTTCCTTAAGGCCAAATAAAGTAATCCTAATCCTAATCCTAATAGCTTTTATGAGCACAGCCAGTGCAGTTTGATTCCTTTATAGTAAATTAAAATATACAGTGTGTCTAGTAATCTTTACATTTGGCAACAATCTTCTGAGGGCACTAAATACTGTAAGAAATACTGCATTTCTTTTTTCCAAATATTTGTTCCTCAGAAGTTCTAAAATATCATTAATGGAACCCGTTAATGAACCACAATGGAAATAAATAGAATAGAATTGAATAGAATAGAGCCAAGTAGAGCTGTCAGAGCTATAGTAATCATTTGGCTGATGTTAATTGAATCCGATTAGCTCACAACATTTCCTGATTTGGTTTTGCCCTCTTTCCCCATCTTTTCCTTTCCTCTCTCCACTGGTCTATAAATAAAAGGTGGCAACAAGGCCAAAAAAATTCTGTTAAGAAGAATAGAACATGATCGCAGTGAGGCAGAGAAGAAAAATAAATCTTTTGAGTACAATTTTTTACAATTTTTTTTTTAATTAAAACCCCTTTCTCTCCTTGGTGCAAATACACTAATCCTCAATCTCTTTACCTATCCTTCTCTTTAACAAACAAACGCATACAGATCCGGGGAGAGAGGCAGTTCCCAGCATGCATCCACTGTTCTTTGTTTTTCACCTGCTGTTAGTCTAGGAACCTTTTCTAGCATCAGATAAACTCCTCTCAGCAAGCAGCAAAAGGGGACAGTGACACGTGGAATTTCAAAGCGCTGCCATGGAGGCTGATGCATATTCAAGAAGCAGGATAATTAACGTCACCCAACTTGCTGTAAATCCGTGTATGCGCCTATGTGTCCTGCCTGTTACACATTAACAAAAACACAGCGGGTTGATTGAGAACGAAATATTAATATAGTATACTGACAGATGGCTGAAACAGAGGCAAGCCTTCAATTTTTTCATACTAGAATGTTGTTTTTCTTCTAGGTCTACAGAGATCTATTCGTGCACTGTATTTAAATCAGTTTTTTGGACACATAAAATATATTTTATGTGGTGTCTCTTGGCTTTTCACAATTTAAACTGTTAATCCAAAATCATTCATATTCCATCTTGGGTTGCCAGGTTTTAAAATTTCACACTGCAGATTTGCAAACCCTGGCTTAATGGTCTTTCTTTTTTTGTTTTCTTTCTTCTTTTTTACATTTTAATGCATTTTGAATGACACTTTTGTTCAAAGTGACTTGCACTGCATTGAAAGTATACATTAGATCACTTGATACATTCCCTGGGAATCAAACCCATGACTATGGTGGTGCTACTGCCTTTATGAGCTTCAGGTATTTGCATATTTATGAGGTTAGTAACATTCATTGGACAAATACAGATTGGCCACACAGATTCTGATTTCTGTCTTCTGAAACACACAGGAAAAATCTCTAAAAAAAAAACAAAAAAACACAAAAATAATAATCACTCAAGTTAATGCATTTGCTTTCACCGTTTCACTTACAACCTGAAATTAAACAGCGTGAAAGCATATGAATATTTAATAAGGTAAGAACTGAGGCAGTTTATGATTGGTTATCTGTGAATAAACAACTTCAAAGCATTGCTAACACATTTGTGAGACTTTGCTGAACCCAGAGTTTAAAAGAGGCCTTGGTTTTAAAAAGATGTTAACCCAGGATTAAGTGTGAATTTGACAGGTCAATTGATCTTGGACTAATAGGCATGGGGTTTATAGAGCTTATAGGCATAGAGTGCTTTCTCCAAAGCCACTTCCTGTGTGATTTACAGTCTCCTCCAATCGGCACAGAAAAGAGCTGTGTGTCTTACTTCCATCCCACCATCTGTCCTGTCATTCTGCATTAGTGTCACACACATACCACAGCTCTGACCTGCAGCCATAAATCAGTCTGTTCTCTGCTCTCCGTTCTGCCCTTTCTGCCTGGGAGTCTGCCTCCTCTGCTGTTTCTTCATTCAGGCCGCACAGAGACACACAAACTCGCACACCCTCTCGCAACCACCCAGATTTTCAATCAGCCAGCGGGAGGAACCCAGGGCCATTCTGTTTATCGTGTTTAGACCGATGTGGGTGCCCAGCTTTATCCCAAGAATCAAATTAAGCATGGAGCGCACTTACTCCACTCCGAACAACCAGCCCTCCCCCTATCCCACCTCTTTTTGCTTATTTTCCCCCATGAGACCATTGTGCTGAGTGAAGGAAATCTGTGAGATGTTGTTTGCATTTGCCATTCTGGGAAGGAGCCAAGCATCACTTGAATTTCAGTCGAAATTCGCTTTCTTTATCTCTGAGCGTCTTCGAAGGTTTTAGTTCATTCTTCTATATCTGTGTCTTCGCACTTCACGCTTTTCTTCCAACCTTTTTTCTTTCTCTCGCTCTCTCCGACTAGTGCTGGGCTGGAAATGAATGCCGAGCAGGCAGAGGCTGCTGGTGTGACAGTAGCCAAGGCAGGCGTCATCGTATTCTCCAGTCAATTACCTTCTAATGATGTTTGAATGTGAATTGCTTTCCGTGTCCCTGAGCCTTTGCTGAGAGTCTCTCTTTAGCAGGCACCATGTTAGAAATGAAGTTAAAGTATTTTTACAAGTGTAGAATGGCTTCCTGACTCATTGAAGACATGGACAGCTTTATTAAGGAGAGTGCAAATCTACAGTTCGGCAGGATTGTGTACTTCTTGCAGAAACTGCATACTTTTTTTTTTTTTTTTTTCAAATGAAGTAATAGGAATCATATAAATTGAATCTGGTTTAGAATTTAGCACTTCCCTTATAAAGTTAGTTTACACAAGAGTGTATTATAACACTGAAATTATATTTATAAAGCTTTTTATTAGGGATGCACCGATACCACTTTTTCCAGTACTCGTCCGATACCGATACTTTTATTTTTGGTACTTGCCGATGCCGAGTACCGATACCAATATTTTTATTGCATTTGTACATTTTTTAAATATTGGGTACAGAAACCAAAAGGGTATGTATAATGTTAGTTGGTTAACTTCATTTATCAAATAGATACAGTCAAACCAAAATCTATTTAGACACCTTCATCTTTTCTCACATTATCACAGTTTATTCGCTATAGTTTAGAAAATGGTAATAAAATATGACAAGAACTCAGAGTTATGTTGTTGGTGTTTCTTTGTTTGAATATGGCGCTTATCACATGCTGTGTGGTATCAGCGTTTGGTATCGGGGCATTTTAACGAGTACGAGTACGAGTACAGGAGACCAGTATCGGTATCTGTGCATCCCTAATTTTTATCTTAACCTAGATGCTTTTGTTGGCATCTGTGGTTCTGTGGTTCCATGAACAATTTTTGACTGGACTTCCATAGAACCTTTCTATTGCACTAAAATGACTTTGTAGTGGGAAAATATATATTACATTTGTAACAATAGCCAACAATACATTGTATGGGTCCCAATTATCGATTTTTCTTTTATGGCAAAAATCATTAGGATATTAAGTAAAGATCATGTTCCATTGAGATATTTTGTAAATTTCCTACCGTAAATATATCAAAACTTAATTTTGGATTTGTAATATGTTATGTCTGTATCTGTTATGCAGTTTCTTCAGAGCAGTACTAAGTATGTGTAGATAGATAGATAGATAGACTGATTCTGCAAAGGGTGTGTAGTTATGATCTTATGAGCACAACTGTGCTTCATATGAAGACTCGCCTATATGGATACATCCGAGGTTTAGATAATAGAGTTTATAATGATCGAATCCAGAAACTGAATCCCATTTTCAATTATAAATTGACAGGTGGGTTTCTTGTGACCAATCTCGTTCAATAGCTAATATTAAAACCTGATACCATCCAGAAGCAGACGGTGCGCAGTCATGCTCGCTCATTCCCCCCCTTGTAGAAGGCATTGCTGAAAAGTTCTGGTCCATTAACCTGGCTAAACATCTTGGCGTAGAATGCAGATTAACTCAGCATGCTCACCTCATCTTGGGGCCTGATCCTCTCCTTCCTTCTTCACATAACCTCACATGCCAACACATCCATAGAGCTTACGGTCTCCTTGACCTTCATACTGTCTTTTTGATTAAATTAAGGACAAAATATGTATCTCCATGCTATCTTCATCTCTGCTGTCTGCTTTTTCCCTCTCATAAGCACAGACTTCATAAAAAATAAGACTCAGCACACAGATCCAGACTCGGCTTGAGATCAAGCTGTATTGGGCAGAGTGGCAGCTGCTCTCCCCAGGGCTCCTTGGTGCACTGCAGCAAAACTATTTCACTGTATTATTAATACTGATAATTAAGGGACCACCATGTTGTGATGTGTTTTATGAAAACTTGACAAGATTATCTAACTCAGAGGGCCATGGCAACACTCCCGTGTTGGTTAGTTCAGTATATCTCACCACCTGTCCAATGTTTTTGTCATGTCCTGCAGGTCTGGTCGTCCTGTGAGCTTCACGGTGGTCTTCAACACACCAAGCCCCGTCAGCAAGATCTCCTGGGTCAACCGGTTACACTTAGCAAAAATAGCACTGAGTAAGTTTGAATTTTATCCTCCACTAACTCATGACTAGAGGTCTGTTGATCCAAAACATTGACTATGAATGTTAAGATCTAATAAGATAAATAAGAATAAATGGATTGTTATTATTGTTGTTGAAAACATTAAGAAAGACTATTTTAGAACCAGATGGGTCTTTTTTTTATTCAGAGTTCATCCTGAGACAAATGTAGGAAAATGTTAGGATCTAATAATAGTAATAATAATAATAATCATTATTTTATAATAGTTTCTGTATAATAATATAGATAATAATAATAATAATAATAATAATATAAATAATAGTAACATTTTCTGACATTTATCTATTTGTGTATTTTTATAACAACAACAACATTTATTTATTTATTTATTTTATCTGTATTAAAATTAAATTAATTATAAAAATTAACTAAAACTATTAATATTATTTAAATAATTATTAAGAAAGATGATTCCAGAACCAGATAGGTGTTTTGTGTTTATTCAGAGTTTATCCAAAAAAAGGAAGGCCAGAAAATGTTTGCTGCATGCAGTAAAATAACAGACGATAAAATACAATTTCACGCTCTTATAGCTTGGTTATCTCATCTCTGCATTTATAAGGTTGTGACTTGTTGGCTCTCTTTGTGTTTGTCACATCAGTGATCAATCAGTGCAGCCAAGTTTTATTTAGGACTTTTCAATGTGTAAAATAGTTTTAATATGTTTTAACCTCAGGGCAAGGAGATATTCAGGCAATGCATTATAAACTATAACTCCCTGAAGAAATGCCTATTCCTTTTATGTCAAGCTAATAGAAATTGCGTCTCTGCCTCTGGTTTATTGAATAGTATTGGCATTAGAGTACTGGCAGTTTTATAACTCTAGAAAAACTGAATTTCATAAAAGATTTAGCCATGTCAATAGTAGTATAATGGTGTAACATCCTTCCTGTCTCAAATGTGCTCAAGAAGCCATGGTGCCATTGTAGACGTTAAATTCCTATGCTTATTTTCTGTATTTAAAGCACAAAGCTGGCATCACATTCTTCAATTCACTATGTTGGTACACTACAGTGAAATTTTTCTTGTAGGTTTGGTTTTAGAGGATAGACTATGTATATCAATACTCTATAGACTAGCAATTTATTAACACTCAATCTGAAAATAGTACAGTATTTTAATCATAGTCTTTCTAAGGTTGTCCAATTTTATGATACTATAATACTGTAGGAGTCTTTGGAGTGTTTAATCAGAAATGCAAACAGATTTCCAAACAGCTGGACATTAATGCGTTAAATATTGTTTTTAGGGCCTATAAGATATTGATGTAGTAAAGATGTTTCATTGAAATTGCCACATTGAGGCATCCAGATTGTTGTAAGTTATGATAAAGCTCTTTGAATGTAATTTTTGGGCTTGAATTAAAAATCAAATCTAGCAGCTTGGATTGTTTCATTGATGCCATGCATGAAACACGGTATCTCTGTCAGTCTGCAGACCATCAAAACTACTACTGACTGATGGAGTCTGGCTTCTCAGTGCCAGACTTGCATCTTTTTCGACACCAGCTAAAGTTTAACAAAAAACAAAAGAAGTAGTTTTACTTCGAGGGGCATGATAAAAGATTACACCATCCTACTTGATGGGCAAACAGCGAAATGAGCTAAAAAAAAAAAAAGGGTTAATTGGAGTACATCTCCAATAGCTGTTAAGTGTCTTTATTGGAACCTGGTTTTACCTCTTATATTAGAATGTAATCATTCTAAAGTGCAAAGTACAATTTTCCAAGCTTTGCCTTGTTTTTGTTTTTTTTGTTAAATTATCTTGTTTTCACACCAACAATAATGGTCTTACATATGCTGCCTCTATAGCTATTTGTGAGCTGTTGTTGAAAAGACTTTTACAGCAATAGGCAAATAGCAATCTCGGTTGACACTAAGTGGATGCTGGCAGCGTAAGTGGCAATATCCCTCCAAAAAAAAAAAACAGCTAGATAGCAATGAGAGAATGACAAACATTCCTGAGAATACCTTTCTTTTCTCTCTTTCTGAGAAGACATATGGCTTTCTCTGCATTTCCCTGTTTGCTCTCCTGCTTTTCTTGGCTCGCCCTTGGTTAGCTGTCAGACTTTTGTTCAATCGGAGCCAAACTTGGTGACCAGAATGAGCTTAAATTCACAACTCACAGTGTAACTTTCACACTTCACTTTGCAGAGTCATAGCATTTTTATTTGGAATGTGATTCTGAAAACACATTATTTTTGTACGTCAAAACATTGTGTTTTGTGCAGATGGACATTGTTATTCAACCTGCTGAAAATGTCAGTTTCACCCTAATTTCATTACTCCCACACGTTGCCTACTCATTTAGCCAAATTAAATTACAATAACAGAAATGCTGGTGCAATTTCATGGGGGGCCTGTTGTTGCCGTGCTCTCTTATATCTTTTGAGGACGTGTGGGTCTGATGTGGGCAGAAAAAAAAACCTTTGATTGTCATCTGAGACCCTTCACCTCCCGTCTGGCAGTGCATTACAACACAAGCCACTTCCTTGTGTTATCAATCCCTATATTCGTCCATCCCTTAGGTCCTCTTTGACTCGTATTTATCCTTATTAACAGATCCTGCAGTCCTCCACCCCACATGTTTTCTGTTATACGCCCTGCTTTGAGGTGTAATTTTTGTCTGATATAATATGCACAGAAGCTGTTTTGTCTCTTATGAGGGCCATTAACAGGTTTCCATGATGGGTAACATATGCTTATATCTATATAAAACAGGCTATCAGAAAACAGTGTTTGTGATATTGTGGCAACATGCTGGGAACTCATGGGGCATGAGATCAAGAGCTTTAACATGACTGTGGATGAGTGTGTCCTGAGGGTTCCATTAATTATGAAGATGTGGTTCAGAAATTGCCACCACAATAACATGTGGTGCAGAGAAAAGGCCCAAAGGGTTCCTATCAGAAACGCCCAGTTCTAGTGAATCGGTTCTAATATGACAGTTCATGTAAACAGACTGATTCAAAAGTGAAATTATTTAATTATTATTAATAATTAATAATAATAATAATAATAATAATTATTATTATTATTATTGATGTTAATATTATTATTTTAATTATTATAAATGATTATTTATTAAATTAAAATAGATTTATATTAGTGCTGTCAAACGATTAATCGGCATTAATCACATCCAAAATAAAAGTTTTTATTTACATAATATATCTGTGTGTACTGTGTATATTTATTATGTATATATAAATGCACACACACAGTATATATTTTGAAAATATTTACATGTATTTACATGTATATATTTTAGTGGTGTCAAAATTAGCGCGTTTACGCAGACGATACATTTTTTCAGTTTAACGCGTTAAAAATATTTAACACAATTAATGCAGGGGCGGGGCTAGGGTTGGCCACCCCACTCACAACTGCTGCTTCTGTCACTTTTTCTCTTGACAAGAAGAGCATTTATTCAGTCGTAGAATGAACACTTCAGAGATGCTCCACTTCACTTCAGCGCCAGGCACGAGTCAAACGAGTGCGGAAACGGTACTGTGCTCGCAGC